TGCGCCCAATGCTGTTTAACATCTTCATAAGTGACCTAGATGTTGGGATCAAGAACACCCCGATGAAGTTTGCTAACAACACCAAGATAAGTGGAGAGGCTGACACTCCAGAAAGGAGGCCAACCCTTCAGGATGACCTGGCTGGAGGAGTGGGATAGACGGAGCATTATGAAACTCAATGGAGAGAAGTGTAAGGTCTGTCACCTGGGAACACGGAACCCAGAAATGTAGTTCAGACTGGGATCCACCTGGCTGGAGAGAAGCCCTGTGGAAAGGGACTTGAGAGTCTTGGTGGATAACAGGCTCAACATGAGTGAACAGTCTGCTGTGGCAGCAAAGAAAGCCAACAGGATGCTGGGCTGCATCAACAAGGACAACTAGCAGAGATAAAGAAGTCATCATCCTGCTCTACTTGGTGCTTGTCAGACCACCTCTCAAGTACTGTGCTTATTTTTGGTGCCTGTTCCACAAAAAGGATGTTAATATTATATTTCTTTTTTGTAAAACACCAGCTGGTGGGAACACAGGGTGTTTCTTACAAGGTGGATCATCTGACCATTGTTTAAAGTAAATTATTGATTTTAAGTGGTATTTAAATGATTTGGCATCCTAATATGTAAGTAAGTGTTTACTATCAGTTTTTATGGCAGCATGTAATGCCATGAGGAGTATTTTTCTGGAGATTGCAGCAAAAGGCTGATCACATTCCAGTGCTTCTTAGAATTGTTTCCTTGACAGGCATCTAACAGATCCAACACAGGACACACTGGAGTACTGCCCCTTGAAGTTCATCCGTGGTGACTGTCTGGCAGTGACATAAGTATGGCAATTCCAAGTGCATCCTAGATGTGAATTCGCCAATCTGCAGCACACACAGCTCCATTACTTCCTAGTTCTATTAAAACAACTGTACTTTTTAATGCATCCGCTTACTGGCCTTAATTATTTACAAAGGATAATGTTCTGGAGCCAGTAAAATGCCAAGACTTTTTAAGTCAGGAAGCACCAGAAAGAAGATATTCAAAGTCAGAGTGCAGCCTCCTTATCTCCACTACTAACCACATTTTCTCCCCTCAGCCCAGAATGCCATTTCAATTACTCTAGGCAGAATTTCCAGTGTTTTATCCCCATTTCTACCATGAATGCTGAGAGACTTAGGAAAATGTATCTCTATTCATGAGGTAGAAGTCAGTCATCATCTACTGTTCTACAGCCAGAACTGAGGCACCAGAAGACAAATGTTGAAGCTGTGTTGAGTGTCCAGTTTGGGAGTCCTTATGTTGGATTGTTTTTGGAATATGGAGTTGCATGGAACTGTGTTAGAACACAGCCCTCCTTGTCCTCACCTCAGATGAGGACACCAGCAAACACAGTCCAACTGATTACTTAAGCTGGACATTCAGACACAGGCAGCTGATAGGTCAGCTATAAAAAGCCTGGCTTGCCCTAATGTCACAAACTATGACCTCAGGCAAGAATAAATTCAATTTTCCCAGGAACGCTCACCTCTTCAAGTCCAACCTTTGTATTCCTTTAATTTCTGACCACTAATAAATGACCGTGAGTGTTAAAACAATCTCTGTATGCTTCAGTCACTGGACAAAAAGGTCATTCTTGCCTAAACATCTGCAGGTGGAATGGATTTTGCAGCTGGAGAGGTGATAACATATGCCTTGCCAGTACATTCCTTGTGTGGGACAACCTTCACTGCTCATTTCCATCACTTTGGATCCCTGATCCATTGATTGGTGGGATTTAAAAGAAAATAACAAAAGACCTTCTGCCTGACCTATTTAACTGCTGTGTTCATTGGATCATTCTGGAAAAACTCAAAGCTGTTCAGTGATCATTTTTATTAGAAACTGGTGTCTCTAGCTACAAAATAACCATAGAATCAAGGATAGTAAAATGGACATGTAAAATATGAAAAAAAATGTGAGAGGGTTACATTCAGAGGAGGAAAACAAATAAGGGAAGTGAAAAAGAGGCAGTTCTGTGATGTCTAAACTTACTGAGGACTGGCTTTCTACATCTTGTGACTGAGGGGCAGAACCTGTGTCTCAAAGAAATTGGATATTTCTAACATCTCTCCCCCGAGCAGGTTCTCTGTTATCCAGTAGAGCCTGAGCACGTGCAGCCCTTCATTCTGCTAGGGGACTCCCAGGGTGATACCTTGTATACTGCTCCTCTAATTTCTCAAAATTTCTAGCAACTTCATTTTGCTCAAAATTTCTACAGCCTGGTTAAATGTATCTGAAATGGGCCAGTGCTTTGGCCAGCTGCTTGTCCTTACAAGGCATGAACTGACAGATAGTTTGATTGCACAAGCCTCATTTGCTTAGGAAATGAAGCTGAAGATAAATAGGTGTGTAAAAATGCCTGCCCATGAGTTCCCTGCTGCAGCCTCCAAACATGCTTCCCATGGCACCACGTGGCTCAGAATGCACTTATCCCCCATCTTTCCTGATTGTATCAGTAGCTTGTTCAGTGATTTGTCAGAGTAGCATTCTCCTCCTAACAACTAATTAAATGGTTTTTAATACATTACAGTCGCTTTTAGGTCCAAACCTTTCTATTTTGGGACTTTCAATTTAAATTTGCCTAACAGCTTCACATAATAGTCCCCTGCTCCAGATAAATTCCTCATTTTAACTCTAATTGGTTTGCTCATGAAGAATCACAATTTACATGACCTGAAGAGGAGATATATCACTAGCTATTACTGAATATAAGTCACATTTAATTAAGCAACAGGAGATACTGATTTGCTTTTTTCTCAGCATTTGTTAATGATATTGCCAATTTCTACAAGCAGAGAAAGTATATTTACATCATCAATGAAATGTATTTGGAATAGGTATTAAATAACCATGTCAGTTCAGTGGCCTCTTAAATTCATGTCTGTTCATCATAGTGACAAGCCAAAGGATCTGCCATATCCAGGTGAAGTTGCTAGTGAGCCAGATGTTCTCCAGTGCAAAGTGATCAAAATCAAATGTGTTTTATGAAAGGTAATGTAAGCAACAAGTGGAAACACAGGAAGTAAAATAATTTGAATAGCTGCAATACTGGAGCATAAATAACCTTCAGTGATTTCAAAGTCCCAGTCTAGAAATAAAGAATTGTCTCATTCTGCTCAGCTGAGGTGAGCCTGAGGAGCCTGGTAAAGCCAGAATGCACAGGACATCTCTGAAGGTCTGGGAGAGGAAGGGGAGCTGGAGTTTGGGGGATACTCAGAAACCTACTGGGACTATTGTGTGAAAGATACTGATGGTTTTGAACAAAAGTTTTAAAATGGACCTTTAGGAGGCTTCTTCAAGGCAACCAAAACCAATGACATTTATTTTAAAGTATCACTATTTCAAAAAAGAAATTACAATTTTTTCCTAGGTGTCTAACTCAGAGTTTTCAACACTTCAGTCAACTGACACCAACGTACTCGGTTAAATTAAAAGACAACAAATATAGATTTAAAATACATTTAGATAGAAGTCATACCAGCTGGTGGTACTGCCTGCTGCTCATTACTGGGATATGGAGAATATTTGATTACCAAATGATTAAGCTTCTTTGATGTAGCTTTTCTTTCAAGGCCAAAATAATGCCTGTGAAAAACACAGATCAACGAGTTACGCATATTTAGGAAACTAACTTTAGAGCTTGTCTTTGATTGCTTTGCTTATTGTTACTTCTAGTTTAGCTTGAGTCTTGGTTGGTTGGGTGACTACTTTTTCCTGTGATGAAATGTAGGAGTGGAGAGCACAGTTGCTCTGAACCCCATGCCCTGAGCCCTGCCTCACCTCCTCTTCGCTCAGCAGCGATATTTGGGGGCACAGCCCCGCCAGACACGCTCTGTGCCCCCGTTAAGATCCACCAGCCCGGCTCTTGGGGAAGGGAAGGGCAAAGAGCAGCCCAGGCCTGAGGCTCAGCAGCTCCTCGGCCGCACCGGGGCCAAAGAGCAACCTGCGGGGGAAGGAGAAAAGGAGAGGAGTGATCGAGGGTGTAAATAAATCAGGTGGTTGGTTGTAAAAACCGGCTCTCTGGGGCTTTGCCTTCGCAGTACGAGACACCTCACCCTGCGGAGTGGGGTGTTCGGGGGGTGCTCAGGGGGTGTTCAGGGGGCTTTCAGGGGGTGTTCAGGGGGCTGTTCAAGGGGCTGTTCAAGGGGTGTCCAGGGGGTGTTCAGGGGAGTGTTCGGGGGGTGCTCAGGGGC